TAAGTTTATCATACTTTTCTGTTCTATTCGTCCCTGTCACGTCTTTTCCCATCAGCAAGTTGCTTAGTCTTGCATTTGACTTTTCCTGTCAAGAAGCTAACTCTGGCTTTATCAAATGCAGTCAAAACTAACATTAAAACATATAGAAGGCTACTAAAATTTTCCTCTCACAAATGCTTTGAGAAAAGGGTCTTCACTCACATTAATATGATTTGCAAATCACCTTTTCTATTTTTTTATCACCACCCTATAAAAACAGCCAATATTTTGAAGCTTTAGACATATTCTGCTTTCAGTAGTTTCAAGACATGTTGATAAAGCCACTGTGTCCGCATGTGGATATGAACTTTGGAAACTTACAACATTTCTATCAAAGAAGAAAGCATTAAGAGCTCAAACCTTCAAATAATACATGTATGTAACCAGAAAAGAATTCTCCTGCCATGCAAAGCTCATTTTCATCAAGGAAATATGAGTCTTACTAGGACTCCCAATCTAAAGGCTGGAATCACACTCTCTGCAATTCGGGAGATATCCTACAAGTTGCTTTTTTGTAGAGTGGGAATTACAGAAGCTTGAAAATGTTATCTTGAAAGAATACACGATCTTAGCTGAAAATGAATATCTAGTTGCTGGAGATGTGGCTGGACAGCTGGATTCAACTTTCATTCAGAAATGGGAGTTATTTCCCAGTTTCAGGTAAGAATATTTAACTTATATCTGAGCCAAAACATATGTACCACCACTGATGTGGTAGTGAAATCTAATAATTCCAAAGATATCAGACAAATTCATCATATATTACATACATTATTTTCTGTGGTAGCTTATATAATGCAAAACATACCTGGCTTTTTCCCTTCAACATCAAGAGATTGGTTACTTTGCCAAAAGGTACGCCTAGAGAAATTACTTCTGCTTCAGTGACATCATTTGGAATTTTACGAAGATGAAGAACTCGAGAAGGGGAGCAGGGAGATCTGTCTCCTTTAAATTTCTTGTTGTCATTCCCATTAGCTAAAATGAATATACAAAGTGCTTCAGCATATGAAATATACTTAGTATAAGTTGCATTTGCTATATGAATTCTAAAACGTAAAGCTACTTCAAATTAACTAGAATCAACAATAGTAACTTGCATTTTGTTTGCTTATTAATCTTGTGTTTGTTCACCTTTTTTTTTGCTTTAGCAGTATAAAAAAAGTTAAATAAAAAAAATTAGAATTCTAATAAACTAACCTGCGTAGTTTATTTCACTAAGTCTTTTTTTGGCATGTTTGCAAACAGAAACTGAACCAACAGTCAGAAGATTTATGGAAGTAGGATCTGCTACTAGTGGCCTTCTTCTACAGAAATGTTTACAAGTACAGGACCTAGGGATTGTCTTCTTAGAGATTATACAAAGGCATAGGGAATGACAGAGCTGGAATAGATTGAAGATCCAGAGATTAAGAATGAGAAAATCAGAAAATAAATAATGGTGATTAAGCAATGTTATTTATGCCCATTTGCTAAAACATACAATAGTATGACTATACCAACAGACCAGGATGAGGTTTAGTGCATCTTGGAAAAGAATGTACAGTAATAACAAACATTGTCAAGCTTTTGCCAGAAATGCATAATCCAGATCCCTTAGCCAGCACATGCACAGTAATCACAAGTTGCCTTTGCAGGAAATAGCCTGCCATCTGTAGATTCTCCAATTTAAATGAAAATCTCTCAATTTGCTGTTCAACTGGCATAGGAAACTGGCTGGCAAATTACAGAGGAGGAAATACAATAATTGGAAGTGTTTTATACATGTGCCTGTCAGTATCAGCCTAATCTGTCCTGGGATCAGACCAGGAAGTTTAGAAAGCATTTTCTGTCAAATTTTAACAGCACTTCCAAATATCTACAACAAAGCAAATGGTTAACAGATGATGTTTTTATTAACACACAGAGGATTCAAAATTTAGTATTTGCTACATGTGAAGATGCTTTTCAATGCTTATTCTTTTTTATCATATCAAGGTTCAAGTGGATCAGAAACTGTCACGCCTGCTCTCCTTGTGCTTCTAAAATTATTAAGATTAAATACAGCCACTTTTTCCAAACTGGGTGCCTTCAAAATTCTGACAACTTCAGCTTTTAGAATTCTCCAAGCAACATTCTGTGTACCAGTAGTTTCCTTGTAGGAAAACAGAAAATGAATCATCTTGTGATTGTAGCTTGCACTAGCTATGAGTGCAAGACACACATATGAATTGCCCTGGGCTCAGATGTACAGTAGACATTCCCTTATGGGAGAAATGCATGCTCTGGGTCATGTATAGAGCTTGGTTACTTCTGCTTCTCTGCTGGAAAAAGTAGACTTATCCTTTTAATAAATAGGGGCAGAACTGAATGAAGAAACTGTAAGAGACCTGTGGACTGAAGGTGAACTTGAGTGGGGTGCATCATCTCCTTCGCAGCTTCTGATTAAAGTGAAATCTCCCTCAAAAGCTGCAGTAAGTTCAGATAATGAAGCAAGATAAACTTTTGTTTCAGCAACTTGCTATTTTGGTGGTGAATTTCTATTAGATATTTTTCTTGGTGATGTTAAGCCATGTCTGGTGTTCTTATTTCTCTGTATAAACCCTCACCTCTTCCCATTCTTCAGGGTGAGCATGAATTATTTTATTTATAATCTTCTTGTAGTCTGTAGTATTAAACTGCAACATTTCCTGTCTCAAGGGGAGAAAGTGCCATTTGTAGCTGACCATTGGTCTCTGGGAGTCTGCTGGGAGCAATGTATTCGCTTTCTAAATTTTCTTTCAAGTTGGCAATTGCATCATTGGGATAGAAACAGCTATGTCATTTACGTTTGCCACCACTAATTATTTGCATTTTAATATTTAAAGTTAAAAGGGGAGATTATATTTTACCACTTCTTTTTAAAAATTTCTTTATCTCTGATGAGGTTGGTCTGTCTTCCCAGGAGAGAAGGGTAGGCAGAAATCTTTAGGCACACACCTCTATGCTATATGGCCATGAGATTACACTATTGAAATAATTTTGCTTTGTTTACCTGCTAATAGCCAGAGAGGCAATAAAGTCTGTGATAGGCCTCTCACTCTCACACACCAAGGTTAGGGAGAGGATGCCAGGTTAAGTGCTCCCTGGAAGGCAGATGGTGACAGTAGGAGCTACTAAGCTGCTATCCCAAAGCAAGACACAGAACCAAGATGTGAAGACTCAGAGGGCTTCTGGGGGAGGATGCTTGAGACTTCCAGTCTTTCACTCTATGGGCTCAGCCGTCTGCTATACCAGCCCAGCCAGTTCAATCCATAGTTAACATCTCATAGAACCAGAAACTCTGATATATTCCTCTTGTAAAATCCCAATCTTAAAACATAAGAACAAACTATAGTTTCATATTTTGGCTTACTTCAGGAAAACATGCCAGAGTTTCTGGTTCATATGATAGAGTAAACAAACAATGGATGTATGCAAACATGGTCACTGATTTATTCTTGGAGGTAAGACATTTTCCCCACAGTTCTAACCTATCTACTTAAAAAAAAAAAAAAAACCCAGATTGGAGTGGTTGCAGCCATCCCTAGGTGTACCTACATTAACCCATTGAGAAAATCTTTACAAATAGGTAATGTTTACAGAATATGCAAAATGCATTCTTAATCATACCTGTAGCAGGAGTAGAATTGCTCATCGTAAGAGGCCCGTATGTGATACCAGAAGGAAGAAGCTCATCAGATCCACGCTGAAAAAAATTGTAAATATATTTGTTCCTCATTCTGATATTTACAGAATATACTTTTTGATAACAGTTAAGGCAGGGACATTTTTGTTGGAAATACAATAAAAAGACATTCAAAGCAATTCTAACATTAATGGAGCATCTATTTTTATTCCATTATGTGTTGCATTATAAGATGACTAGGATGTAGAGCAGAAAACACTATATGAACGGTATATAAAAGCAAATATTTGAGGAACGGTACTTGCTAAATAGGTTCCATGTTAATATATTTTTCCCACTCATTACTTCACAATAATTAATTGATCATTGCTTTATATTCTCAAACAAGCTAGCTGACTCTCAAACATTTCTGATACCACTTTCTCTTTTTGTTCACTTTGCTCAACTTCCAGACATGATTAAATAAGCAAAACATTCTAGAACCATCCTGCTAACAATATGTTGTATTTCAAAATTGTTTTCTAAATTATTGAGACCTTACTCTTTTCACCAATACATCTGATCAGGAAATGAGATCAAAGGGATCTCAGATACCATTACAGACAAACCAATGGACAACACTTCCATTAAAAAAAAAAGATACATTGAGGTATGGTATAATTCTGACTCATTTGGCTTACTGCTATTTCTACAAGCAACTTTATCTGATATATACCTTGCTAGCAATATATAAACTTATGGGAGTTGGATATCCTGCAAAACTGGATAGGATGTTCCATAGAAGTAGCCATATCTACTTGATGTGGTGAGATAAAACATTACTATGATGTATAAAATGTTGATCAATGCCAAGTAGACTGAGACATAGCTATCATTTTATGACACAATTATGTTTTTCTCCAAGAAAACATTCTTTCAATATCTTGATGCATCAAAACTCAAAGCAAAGCTTCTGTATTAAAAAATATTTATTTTATTTGCAACTCACTGGGGAAAACAGAAATATATCATGTAGTATGCCAGGTGATGAAGCCTAATATACAATAATAAAATTTAACTTTACATGCTAAGAGAAAGGAAAATCAGCACAAGGGAATTACTTTATTTTGTCAGTTCAGCTGCTGCTATACCTACTTATAATGCCATTAGCCATCTTTAATTTTTACTGCTGTGAATATCAGTAAAAATAGAGGATAGGTATTTCAAATGTCATGTGCCATGTTTTTAAGTCCACATATGGGAAGGTTCAATGCCTGAGACTAAAATTACCATATCCCAAATTCACCAACTTAAATAGCAACAAACCATCAGATCTTTCTGTGAACCACAGTATATGATACCTGTGATACTCCATGTGAAAGGCATGAATTTTTTTTTAATTATTAAATAAAAATTATAGGAATTGCTTAAAATTTCAGAGAAAATTAAGATTGTAATAGGTGTGCTCTTGGAGGATGCCATTCAATTTAAGATGAATCCAGCTTCACTTGTTACAGATAAAAGGAGCAGATCATTCAAAGTTTTCCCTCAAAGACAATGGAATAACAGCACCATGGAGAAGCCAGAGTTATTCTTGATCATGTATTAGCATCAGTACACTTTCAAAGATTTGGTGATGAGTTATCTATTTGATCTCAATAAATTATAAACAGGCTTTGGGATAAAATTAGACTGTTTATTCAGCAAGAGTGTAGAGGTGACAACTGCAATTCCAATTAATGCACAGATAAATATCTACAATCCTGAAATGATATATACCTAAATGGTAAAAAGATTCTTATATTATCAAAACTACATTTAAAATTAAACTTAAAATGAATAATCAACTGAGCAGTAAGTTCAACCACAAAGGACTCAACGTTCTCTAAATTAAGATACTGAGATTTATTCTCAGGCCATGGTAATTATTTTGAAGATCAAAGTCTTAGCTGATAATGGGCATGAATTTGTTTTAAAAATGAATGGAAAGTAATGAATGTACTTCAATTAATGTTACTTTTTAATACATAACACTAGTCACAAATATAAATATCAAGGGCAGCTGATATGATCTTTTGCCATTTTATGTCTGATAAAATTCCTAGTTCTGATTGCTAGACCTCTCTGGGCAGCTGCTTAAATCTCTACCTGGTCAAGAGTTACTCCTCAGTACTGCCATGTTTTACAGCACTACTCATTATATTGTAAATATGCATTTTTTTTAATTAAGAGTCCCCAAAGTGGTGGTTTCTGTTCATTATACAGACAGAAATCTGGCAGCTTTGATGTTTTGATATAATACCTGTACGATTTATACAATTTAGATGCAAAATATAAAATTTACCATCAGTGTAAGACTTGCAAAATCTTCTGTTACAATAAGTAGTGAGTATCTTAGTGGATGCCATCCTTTTAACAACCTGTAAACCAGGAGTACTTTCTCCATTCTGTCTGGAATTTGGTGGGCATGATACCATTAAAGAAGGATGCAACTGCTACACATTTCATTTGGCTGGGAGATACCACAATTACAAACAGTGGAAGGTTGAGTGGTTGCCCACTGAAGTTGACAGAAAAAGTTAAAGAAGCTTTAAGAGAGAGAAGTATTTTCCCCACTGCAAACCAGGCTGGATTTAAATCTGCCTAAAGAAGGTTGACTTAAATGGGTTTAAACTAAGTTTTCCATTAATACTTCATACATTTCCTAAACTATTATCTAAATCTTAAGACTCATCATGCCTGCAGGCAGAAAAACAGAAGCAAACATACTAGTTTTCTTTTGTTTTCCAATATTGTTCCCTTTTGCTTACTTCTATCTTGGCCCATCCTTCTTGCACACAGAGACAAAAACAATAAACAAAACTGAATGATCATGACTGATGTGCCAAATTAAGGTCTGAATTATTTAATGAATTATTTAAACTCATTAGTTAAAAAAAATGGCAGTGTTTGGAAGCCAATCAAAGATAGGAAATTTACTGGCCTACTATAAGAGCAGACACTGACAATATGGCTAATGGTAAAGGACACTGGAATTTGCAATTTAGTCACAAACTCGCAGGCTCACAACCCTCATGCAAATATTAATATTTGAAGAGCTGGTCATAGAAGAGCCTCTTATAATTCAATGTATTTGGCAAAAGCATTGATTTTATATAGCAATTAATGTAGGGTTAGTGTATTAATATATCCAGATTTAATAAAATACTTATTCCTTGCAAAATGTTATTTTTTAAATTGAAATAAATCCAATGTAAAACAAAAAACTAATATTCTTTGGTCCAAAAGAGAAAAAAAAAAAAACCATTGTAAAGTTGCTAATAAATGACCACTCCCTATTCATATTTAAAGAAGCAACTGAGTTTAATAACCAAGCCTAAGTCATTGTTAGGCAGCACTGTAAAACCTACTTGGGCCAGAATCCGCACATATATATAAGTAGTACTAGCTGCACATTTGAGCAAACAATAATTTGTTTAATATTGAACAAACAGTATACTAGTGCACACTGCTATTGCCTATTCCTCTCAAAGTAAGGCAGAGAACAAACGCAGGGTTTGGATTTAACTTTCCTCTCCAGCTTGCCCTGACAGATACAAGTTAGAGTTCTGGGTTCATGCAACATAGTAAACAAATTACATACACAGCAACCTGAAGGAGCCAGATAGTATGATCTGAGCAATGCGAGAGGGATAACCACTAAGTAAAGTTATGGCTTAATTTGCCACCCGAACATAATCAGTGAGAAGGATTAAGATTTGCTTGGGGTGGGTGGGGGAGGATATGACCTACCCCTAACCCTTTAGTCTGGTGTAGGCCATATGTCAAAATAGGAAAAAGAACTAAGGCCTACGGCGCCACTCCTCTTTCCCCATGTACATCAGAGACAGATTGAGAAATGGAAAAGGCAAGTTAATTCATAAGCAGATATGCTGTGTTGGCTAGCAGCAAGCCTGCCTTCCAACTTTCAAGATGCAGAATTAGGCAGGATTAACTACACACTTCTACAATGACTGACACACACACACACACACACACACCCCGCAACTCCAAAGCTAGAAGGAAGGCTGGATGTTGTCTGGCTGCCATCCAATAAAAGCATCTAAAGAATATTAGCTGTACGGAGTAAAACAGACAATCTCCTACCTGCTATGAAGCATTAGATATAAATTGCTTGAAATGTCTTTGGGCTGCAGCACCCAACAGTGTGTAATGTGGCATTTCACTTGAGAAAATCTGGGGGGAAGATCTCATCACTATAGTCTTTGGCTTTGTTGACCAATCCAATAAAAAATTATCAAGCTTTGTCATTGCCACAGATAAACAGTTAAGGGCACAGCTGTATCATGAAGTTACACAGTATTAATCCTAATATCAAATAGTTAAATTTTAAGTCTTAACATCTTTAGTCTAATGTGTTGCCATGAAGAAAATTCTTACAATCTCTTGCCAAGGTATCAAATTCTTTCTAATATGAATCTTTTAGGAGATTCATATTCAAGAAAAATATATATTAAGCATAAGTTAGTAGTTGCAATTAAAGTGTGTCAAGCAAGTTTGGTTTGCTCTAAATAATCTACATCCCATTAGCACAGAATGTCACTTTAAGTTTTGCAATTTCTATTACTGTAGAATTAGTTAATTCGGTGAAATGCATAACTATTTCTTAAAAACGTAAGTCACACATAACTTACTGCTAACTAGGCCTCCAAAACCACCACAGAATACTATATCCTGATCTACAATAACTGTCACCTGGGACCACCACAATGCATCCATGCTCCTGTAATATATTTAATACTGTTTAGCTAATAGAGTTATAGCAGCAAATATCTTGCATACTTTGATTAAAAGAAAAAATATATGTAACACCAAATAAATTAATCTGATTTTATGAAATTATTTAAGGCAATTTAGGCTAAAAGAAGGTCCTGAGATACACAGACAAAAATATTTTGGAGAAGAATTAAATGAAAAATAATTTGAACTTCCATGTTATCATGTCCTTTAAAAAAAATCAGCATGCAAATCTAAAAATTTTACTCAATGAATAAAAGGATAAGAAGTATGCAGAAACATTC